TTTCTACATGGGGTATTGTTTTAATAAAATTGTTTTAATAAAACAATACCTATATCACTCCAGTGAGTGAAGCAGCTTTTGAATTGGACAAATACACCCATCTCTTCCCAACTCTTGTTTGACCCGCCAGCTGATGCCCAAAGAACCAGAGAAGGAACAGCATCTTAAGGTGTCCATCATGGCTATTCTAACAGGCTTTTTCATATCGCTTGAAATTCAAGCATTCCTCAAATTTATCTTTCTTGCTATCAAGACTCCAGATTTAGCTCAAGAACATTCCTTGCTGGCTGGGGGATTCTGGGCGTTGAAGTCCACACGTCCTCAAGTTGCCAAGGTTGAGATCTCGATTCAGCCCTCGTTCTTGTAGCAGCTTCCCCCAGTCTTGCTGCTCGAGAGAGCTGCAAGTAGAAGCTGCAGGATGCTTGCCAAACCGTGCTGGCTGGAAACAAACACCACGGAACTGCTGGCGTGCTGCTGTTCCGCTTGACGAGCCCCCGGGGAGAGATGCATAGTTAACGTAACACTTCAAACATAATTATTGATTGCACGCGTAGCCCACTGGTCGGGCTGCACCATCAGCAAGCCGAGGGAGGGAGAGGAAGCAGTGCAAAAAGTGTGTGTGTGTGTGTGTGTGTGAGCAGGGTGCATCCTAAGCAATGGAGCAATGGAGCCCTTCGTTATCATCGGCACAAGTCCTAAAAAATGGGGGTGGGGGGGATTCACATTCCTTCCAAACAAGCCACCATGATAACTAATCCTACAGCCTCAGCTTTGCCTAGGTTTCGGGAACTGTCCTGGCAAGAACGGGTTTGCCAAGCCATCTTTTCACCTCTCCAAAGCACACCTGCCGGTCCTGCTGACTCGGATGCTCCAAGCGCTCTCTGGGCGTTGCTACAACAAACATTCATTGTGCCGGGTATCTTTCCATCCATGCTGGGCTCCGCCCTTTGTTTCCACTGCCTAGCCAGTTTGGACCAGAGTTTGGTTACTCACAGGACTTTGCCCTCTGGCCACTCAAACTGTCCAGCCCAGCCATAAGGTAGAACAATGCAAGCTTTCCTGTGGATGTTTCCACACAGCCCATAGTGGGAGGGAGGACAGCCCCCGTCTTCTGCTCAGATCTTCCTGCTGATGTCACCTTTTTGCTGATCGCTTTCCGTTTTGTGCTCCTCAAACCTCAGCAGATTCCATCAGGGGTCACCGTGGGAGAACTTTCCTTTCCTTTCCTTTCCTTTCCTTTCCTTTCCTTTCCTTTCCTTTCCTTTCCTTTCCTTTCCTTT